GAATAAATTTTCATACTTTCTTGCCCTTTCATTTCCTTCATATTCCAATTACCAAAGAATACCCAACCAATGAATATATAAGGTAGATTGAATAAAAATATATGAACAATGAATAAATTGAAGGTAAATTGCATTCTGCATAATCATACTTATCATCTTCCATAATTACCATAAAAAATTAAGGCATAAAGGGTTTATGGAAAAACAAGGGTTCAAAGGATAATCATGAATTATTACCAACAATTGACAATCAATACTTAGCAAAACAATGATAAAATACTATAATTCTTAATAATTGAATAACAATTTCATTTTAAAAGAAAAACCATGTCTACAGTAAAAACCTAGTCATGGAAGGTTTGAAAAGAATAGTTGAAGGATCCTCTTGGGGAAAGGATTTGCAAGAGTAAAAGAAAACATACCTTTATGATGATATTGCCATGTATTTGGAGTTAAATCCTTGGTGAATTCGTCCTCAACTTTTAAGCCCTTCTATTCTTCAATGAATTTTGAAATTTTGGGAGAGAGAAAATAGAGAGAAGTTATAGCTACGTGGGTTTTGGGAATATGGGGTGTTGGGTTAGTTTAATGAAGTTTAGGTATTTGATAGTACCTTAATTAAATAAACTAAATACCCCATAAATCTTACTTAAACACCTAAGTAACTAACTAGTTAATTGTTTAACTAAAAACTTGGACTGTCAAAATAGGCCCTCACCTACGAGACCTCGACATACGGTTTGTAGATTCATCGACGGCCAGTGCTGGAAAGGCTTCGATTGGATGAGAGAGTGGTTTTTGGACAAATTTTGAGACTTTTCTTATTTTCAGCTACGATGTCATCGATGGCTTATTGTTTGGCTCGTAGATTTGCATTGTCATGTTTGACAATTTTAGTTCAAAAAGAAGGATCCTCTCCAAGGACCATTAGGGACGTTTCAACCCTAAACACACTTTGTTACTTGTTTCACACCTTTGTACAAATTTTCATTAAATTCCAACTCATAAAACCCCATGAAACATGCCAAAGTACACTAACTTCTATTTCACTAGACTCCGGACGTCAGCGACATTTTTTGATTTTTGGGCTCTAACACTTCCTAATTAGTTAAAATACATAATTTTAGTCTTACAGGCAGCGTTTGATATCTTAGTTCATCAATTGAGGTGCTAGACCATGTAATGGACTTTAGGGGTGTTACATTAATCCCCCAAGAGCATTTATCCCTGAATGACACTAAAATCTTTTATAGGGAAAGGATATACTTAATACTATCAGCCCAATCAACCATATATATAAAGCACACGAGTTACAACTCAAAGGATTACTTAACAAGTCCATTCGAGATATAAACATGATATTTACGTATAGCAACTCTAAACCAACCAACAGAAGGACAAGACGGTCTGTTTGTGGACAAATGGCACGTCGACTGCCAACCGTTTGTGGACTACCTCTCTGCATGCCATTTGCTGTAAGTTGAGGGGTGAACTTGTAATCTCACCCCACTTCCAAGTATTTGTATTGGATGTTTATTCAGGGTGTTTTGGGTACTTTTTATGTGTGCATATAACTCATAAACACATTGAACACTTCATTCTTCTATATTAAAACCCCAAAATCCCTTAGAATTCTCTCTAGACTCCATTGAAGTCCAAAGTAAAGGAGGAGCTTGGTGTGATGATTTGTGTCGAGATTCTTCATCAAATTATGTATTTTTATCCTTGAAACTCTCTTCATCAAGGATTCCCAATTATCAAGATGTTTTCTAAATGTTTAAAGTTGAATTGTCCAATTTCATGACTCTACCAAGCATTCTTGCATTAATGATTAATTGTTATTGTATTGATGATTTTAACCTTAAATACTTATGAAACAATGAATTTGATTAACCATAGATTTTGACTAAGTTATGGGTTACTTGATATTGACCTAATGTTGTTGAATTATGATGTAGATTTCTATGGGCTGTCTAATGATGTAATAATTGTATTCAATCGATAACTAGGTTGTATTATATTGATGAATTTTAATTTTATTGACATATTTTAATTTATTAATATTGTTTTTATATTGAATTGATTTTCTGGTCATGGGTAAGGAACTTATGTTATTGAACTAGATGATTTACCATCAAGTTGAGGTGTTGATGATGTTGTGGCAGTAATCTGCCTATTCCCTTTATTTTTAAGTTGTTTATACTTCAAATATTTTGTCATTGGTATGGTCTACTTATGGTTGCGGTGTTATGTGCTATACTTGCAATTGAAGTGGCTTTGTCGTCGTTACTTTATGTATTATGACGATCATGGCCTTGTCGACACTACTTGATGTAATGTTGCTATTTGTGTAGATGATTATGTGATGTATGACTATGTGCTTTTATGTGTAGTCTTAGAGTTGATGCATAATTGTTCCTTCTTGACTATATGAGTCTATAATTGTTATATATATGATGTATTAATTTATAGGTTGACATAAAGATGATAAGGGTCATCCTATGTGCTTTAAAGAATAATATGCTATATGTTATAAAGTGAAAAAAGTAGTATCTTGTTTGAAAGACTTGTATCCCTTACTTGATATATGAATGATTATGAGATTAAGATATGTCTAGACTAGGTAGTCTTAGTGCACCCTTTTCATGTACGGATGAACGATATGTGAGAACTTTGAGGATGTTAAGAAGGTCATGTATGTGGTAAAAGTTATGTTATGAATATTGAAGTCGAGAGCATAATTGCATCCATCATGTAAAATAATGGTGAACTTAAGGTTAATTGGCTGGAACGACATCATATTAATCCTTAGGAAAGTAATAATGAGCTATCTTAGTCGCCATTGAAAGGTATCTATAGTGGACCTATTTGGTAGGGTGAATGTCATTAGGTTATGAACTATATAAGGAACCTCTTCATGTGATCGTGTAATTTCAATTAATCCATGAGAACAAAGGATATTACCAGTGATTATGTCAAGGGAAGTGGATCTACTTGAGAATGAGACAAGAGTACATTGTACCTCTACTTGAGAATGAGAATAGAGTGCATAAAAGCCCTTCATATTCCTTAAGCATGTGCCTACATGGGATGTGTCCTAGTTTTACCCTTTGCAAGTAGAACAACCTCATCGAAGTAGGTTAGAACTCTGGATTCCATCTCTAGCTATCATGGTCTATGTCGGTATTGCCTACTCTCATCATCTGGGATACTTACTAGAGTTAGAGAAGTTCTATGAAGTTTATTTGGTGGTATGGGACGGTATCTTGGCATTGCACAATAGGCTTTGAAGGTTTTAGTTAGGGTCCCTAGGTCTTCTCTAAGACCATTACATGAATGTCCTTTATGTGATGTATGAGTCATAATGAACTAATGACTTATGTTATGAAGTATGTTAATGGAATTAGTACTTATGTAGAGTAGTTAGGGGATTTCTAGTTAAGGTGTCAAGGGGGCATAGGAATGGTCACTTCGTATCTTACCTACATGAGTCTTAAGAATGACTCTAGTTAGGGAAGATATTGATTATGTGCACATGATTTGAACTTAGGAAGTCTTAAGGATTATTTAGTTACTCTTAAAGACATCAATAATATATGTTATCTTCTTGAGATACTTAATTAAGTCTTTTGATTGCCTTTGATGATTAAATTTCATATTATCTATATGCTGACATGTTTAATGTTTTGAAGTGTGTATGTGACTTATTATAAGTGTTCTTGAGGGTCTTTTTTGTACGCTTAGGAAGGTTTTATGAGTGGTCTCTCTTTGTGTAGATTTAGTGGGTCTTAGGATATATTTTAGTGAGGAAACTACATGCTAGAAGTAATTAAAAATGAAGAGAATGTACTTCATTGTACAGTGACGTGAAGCTATTGTAAAGTGCTTCAAAAAATATGTTAAATTGCTTAAATGTGATCTTATGAGTTTCTAATTTGTTAAATGTTGTTTTTATGATTATATTAAGATTTTTAAATGAAAAGATGCATATTTCGAATAAATGTATGTTTTCATGATTTTTATGCATTATGCCATACTTAGTACTTGTGGTTGTACTAACTCCATTCTTTTATCTATATCCATAGTTTTTTGTAGGTGAGGAGTATTTGAGAAGGAAGACTTGGAACATAGCGTTTCTCAAGAGAATTCAAACTATGTCATCATTTGATTTGAGGGCATAGATGTATTTTATGTTTCCATTTGAAAATTTCTAATAAATTAAGTATTTCTATATTAGTATTGTATATAGGTCATGTACCAAGTATTCTTGTGTATTAAGATGATGAGCGTGAGACTAAGTATTTCTATGAATTTATACGGAAGATATTTTTAAAGATTATGTTATGTTTTATGAAAAGATTTAATTCCCCACGACTTTTCTCTGTGTTTATGCGATGAATGATATGTATGGGCTTGTACAAGACCTCTGAGAGGTCAAGTACGCCGGTTGAAATATGAGATGTCCCCTAATTTGTTGGGTTTGGTTTTGGATATTACAATCTTTGTATCATAGGATAGGTTGGGAAAGTAGTATTAGAAATCAAAAAATCTCGTCTAGTAGACTATTGACCATCGGTGTGAGTCACGACACATCTATGGGCGAGAGGCTACAAGAAGATAGAGTTTCCCTTCTTTTCTACTCCTATGTTGTGCGGTAGATTAAATTTTATGAGTATGCTTCTTAATGTGTTTCCTTGTGTTTCTAGATGATGAATACTAGAAGGATGGCCGCTAGAAGGTTGGAAAAAGAATAGGCGAATGAGGAGATTCCTTCTCAAGTTGAGCAAGTTCCTCAATGTTGGAAAAGAGTCCAAGGTGCTCAAAGTGTTGATCTGCCTCCTCAAGGTGATAAAGTCCCTAATGTAGAATGAGGTAACGAGGTTCTGGTGGTTCATCCGCATTTTACTAATAGTGAGAATTGAGATGGTTTGATTGCTTTAGGCCAAGCCGTGACTACTCAAGCTAATTTGAGTATGGTGCCTAGGGTTGTAAAGTGCACTATGACCTCTAGAATTAGAGACTTTGTGAGGATGAATCATCCTATATTTATTGGCTCTAAAGTGGGAGAGGAACCCCAAGAGTTTATAGATTCGGTGTACAAGATAGTGCATGCTATGGGAGTGACATCTAGGGAGAAAGTGGAGTTGGCTTCGTATCTAATGAAAGATCTGGCTCAAGTGTGGTACACACAATGGAAAGGCAATAGGCCGGAGAAGTTTGTTCCTAATGAGTGGGAAGAATTTAAGGAACATTTTCTTGGTAAGTACTTTCCCAGTGATATAAGGGAATTTAAAGTAGAGGATTTTATAAATCTCAAGCAAGGCAATATGAGTCTTGAGGAGTACTCTTTGAAGTTTTCTAAGCTGTCAAAATATGCCCTCTCTCTTGTATCAAATCAAAGAGATGAAATGAGTCATTTTGTGACGGGTGTGGCTGATTTAGTAAGGGAAGAATGTCGTACGACGATGTTACATGATAATATGACCGTAGCTAGACTCATGGTGTATGCACAATCAATTTAAGAGTACAAACTTAAGAGGATGGATAGAGACTTAAAAAGGGGTGGTTCTAGTGATCATAAACAAACTAGGGTTAAGAAGAGGGCTCAAACTCAAGAAGAATCTTGGAGTGCTTAGCTGAAATTGGAGAAAGGTTGTGATTCTCAAAATGAAAAGCCTACATGTGTAACTTGTGGGAAAAGGCACTATGGGAAGTGTCTACCGATATTAGTGGTTTCTTTTGTTGTATGAAGGATGATCATAAGGTAAGAAATAGTCCTATCATTGCGGATAGAAGAAGAGAGAGTAAGCAAGTTCCTCCTAATGTTTCAAAGGAGGATGTTCTAAAGGAAAAGGCTCGTTTCTATGCACACCGGGCAAGACGATCAAAGCCGGATGAGAATGATGATGATTATGAAGGTAAGTCCTTGTTTTTGTTTCTAGATATATGAGTTCCTTTTAAGTGGGGGAGTATGGTTAGAAGATGGGATAGAACGATATAGAAATATGTTGCATGTTCACGATGTTTAGGAGTTTTGTTGAAATTGAATTTCATAAAATTCTTGAATTGTGTATTTTATGAATCCATGATTATGTTGTAAGATAATTTTATGTGATGTTACCTTGCATATTATCTTGTTTCTATCATTAATTGCTTAAAAGTTGCATTTTTGAAAAAAAATTGGTGTATTCACTCTAAAGGTACTGGTAGTTCACTGTATAATTTTTGAGATATTGACTAATTGATGCTCTAGTTTAAAATTTTTGTAGTGAGGTCAGAACTTATGTATATGAGTATGTAATTGAATATAAATAATTTTTACTATCTCGAATGAAAGATGTGAGTTTTGTAACATATTGAGTTATAGAATTGTCTTCTAGTTTCTTGTTGTGTTGTAAATCTCTTGACTATATGGAAATTGATGTTTTATTCTTTCTTATGTGTTATATGGTTTAGTCATGAGATTCTAGTTGAATCTCTATTCTTGGAACTGTTCGGAGAGTGACAAGTGTAATTCTAGGATGAATGTTGTCCACGTGGGGGAGATTGTAAGACCCTAAACATGACTTAGGTGAACTAGAGCCTCACATTGTTTTCATCATGGTATAAGGTCCTAAATAAGTCTATAATGTGGTATTTAGGCAGTAGATTAGAGATTAGGTGCATTGAAAATCAAACATCAAGGAACGACTAACACATTCGACGACTAAGTCACCTATGTTCCTCATATGTTGTTTTATGTGTTTAGTTGTGATTCATAAAATAATAAGGTCTTTAAATGAGTTATTATATCATATATATTCAGTGTGTCTAGTTTCGTGATGTTTGGAAGTCCAACATCCAAGAACGTCCATGACGTTCGAAAAATGTGCCTTGAAATGACCTTGTGTGTCTAAGCATGTTTATTCGAGTTTTACCTGTTCATTTTTGGTGAAGTTCATGTGATAGGTTATAAAATGTCATACGGTCATGTTTGTGTTGAAAAAGAGTGGGCGAATAGCCCCATGCACCATCCAACAGTCATTGTGAAAGGACCATAAATTTGGTCTCAAGACTGTCTAAGGCAGCCCCACACGATGGAGGCATCAACATGTCGTGGTCATATCAACACTCCTTCAATGGATTCCGTTTATGGGGATTTATACTGGGAATGGAGTAGAACCATGGAAAGTTTCTGAACCAACCAACGGAAGGACAGTACGGTCTGTTTGTGGACAAACGGTCCGTTCACTGCCAATCGTTGGTGGACTACCACCTTGTGTGCGGTTCATTGTATGTTGAGGGGTGAACTTGTAATTTCACCCTACCTACAAATAATATTATTGGTAGTTCCTTATGTGTATTTTGGGTATTTTAAATTTGCATATAAGTCTTAAACATATTGAAGAATTCATTCTTCTAAATCAAAACCCCAAAATCTCTTAGAATTCCCTCTAAACTCCAATACGGTCAAAAGTCAAGGAATATCTTGGTATGAAGATTTGAGTGGACGTTTATCAAAGTGAAGAATAAGAGTCATCAAGGTATGGATTTTTGTCCTTAAAACTCACTTCATCAAGGAGCCCCAAATTCTCAAGATGTTTTCTAATGTTTTAAAGTTGAATTGTCCAATACCATGATTCTACCATGGGTTCTAGCATAAATGATTTCTAAACATAGAATAATGATTCAATTGTTATTGTAGTGATTATTTTAACCTAAACTACCTATGAACCCATGAATTGGGTGAACCCTAGATTTTGACTACGTTATGGGTTACTTGATATTGACCTAATGTTGTTTAATTATGGTGTAGATTTCTATGGGCTATCGAATGATGTAATATGTATTCAATTGATATCTAGGGTTGATTAGATTTATTGATTTACATTTAATTGACCTTGTTTCATTGATTACTATAGTTTTTATGTCTAAATGATGTTCATGGCCATGGGTAAGGGTCATTTATTATTGAAATGGATGATTTAGCATCAGTTGAGGTGTTGAGGATGTTGTGATATTAATATTCCTTATTACCTTTATTTTGATGTTTTTTATACTTCAATTATTTTTAAAAGGGTATGGTCCACATAAGGTGGCAGTGTTATGTTCTTTAGTTGCAATTGATGTGGCCTTGTCGGCGTTACTTTATATATTATGTTGATCATGGCCTTGTTGACACTACTTGAAGTAATGTGGATATTTGTGTAGATTATTAAGTGAAGTGTGATTATATTTATATACATGTTAAGCAATTAGAAAGTATAGGTATTCTATTGATGTTATGCAGGTGATCATATAAGACTATGACTATGTGCTTATATGTGTAGTCATAGAGTTGATGCATGATTGTTCCTAATTTACTATATGAGTCTATATTGGTTATATTTATGATGTTGCAGTAATCTATAGGGTAAAATAAAGATGATAAGGGTCATCCTAAGTGCTTTAAAGAATGATATGTTATTTGTGATAAGGTGAAAGAATGTAGTGTCTTGTTTGGTAGACTTCTTTCTCTTACTTGATATATTAATGAATTTTATGAGATTATGATATGCCTTCACTATATAGGCTTAAGCACCTTTGTCATATATGAATGAAAAATATGTGAGACCTTAGATGATGTTAAGAAGGTTATGTATGTGGTAAAGGTTATGTTATGAATGTTAAAGTTGAGAGCCGTAATGGTATACTTCATGTAAAGGAATCATGGAGTAAAGGTTAATTGGGTGTAACACCATCATCTTAATCCTTAGTAAATTCATAATGAGCATTCTTAGACACCGTTAAAAGGTAGCCCTAGTGGACCTCTTTTGTAGAATGAATGTTATTGGGTTATGGACTAGATAAGGAACCTCTTCATATGATCCTTTAATGTCAATTAATCCATGAGAACAAAGACTAGCACCAAGTGATTATGTCAAGGGAAGTGGCTACTTGAGAACGAGACTGGAGTACATTGTACCTATACTTGAGAATGAGACTAGAGTGAATAAATGCCCTTCATATTCCTTAACCATGTGCCTACATGGAATGTGTCCTACTTCTACCCTTGACAAGTATAACACCCTCATCGTAGTAGGTTAGAACTTCGGGATCCATTTCTATCTAACATGGTGTATGTTGTTTATTGCCTATTTTCATCATGTGCGATACTTACTAGAATTATAGAAGTTTTGTGAAGTTTAGGTGGTCGTATGGATGCTATGTAGACATTGCAGAATAGTCTTTGAAGGTGTTAGTTAGAGTCCCTAGGTATTGTCTAAGACAATTACTTGAATGTATTGTATGTGATGAATGAGTCTTAATGAACTAATGAACTAATGACTTATATTATGAATTATGTTAATGGAATAAGTACTTATCTAGAGTTGATAAGGTTTGTCTAGTTACGGTGTGAAGATGGAATAGGAATGGTCACTTAGTATCTTACCTAGATGAGTCTTAAGAATGACTCTAGTAGGGAAGATGTTGATTGTGTGGACATGATCTGAATATAGGAAATCTTAAGGATTATTTAAGTACTCTTGAAGATGTCAATCATAGATGTTATCTTCTTGATCTACTTAAGTAAGTCTTCTGATAGCCTTTGTTGAGAAAATGTCAAATTATCTATATGTTGATATCTTTGATGTCTTGAAGTGTGTATATGACTTATAATAAGTATTCTTTAGGGTCATTTTTGTATGGTTAGGGAGGTTCTATGACTGTTCTCTCTTTGTGTTGTTTAAGTGGGTCTTATTATAGATTTTAGTGAGGGGAATACATGCTAGAAGAAGTTAAAGCGAAGATGAAGTTCTTCAATGTAACAGTGAAGGACTTCACTGTACGGTGAAGTGAAGCTACTGTAAAGTAATCCAAAAATATGTTAAATTGTGTAAATGTTATATTATGGGTTTATAAGTTGGTAAATGTTTTTCTTATTATTATAATATGAAATTTAAATTTAAAGATGCATATTTTGAATAAAATTCCATTTCATGATTTTTATGTAGTATGCAAAACTTAGTACATGTGGTTGTATTAACTCCATGCTTTTATCTATATGTATAGTTGTTGGTAGGTGAGGAGCATTTGGGAAGGAAGACTTGACCATAGCCTCGTTCAAGGGAAGTCAAAGTATTTCCTCATTTGATTCAAGGTCATAGATATCTTTTTTGTTTCTATTTGATGTTTTGTAATTGAGTAAGTATTTCTATATTAGAATTGTATATGGGTCGTGTCCCAAGTATTCTTGTGTCTTACGATGATGAGATTGAGACTTAGTATTTCCTTTGAATTTATATGAAAGAGATTTTTAAAAGTTATGTTATTTTTTGTTAAAAGTTTTAATTCCGCACTAATTTTCACTGTGTTTATGCGATAAATGATATGTAAGGGATTTTAAAAGGCCTCCTAGAGGTCAAGTACGCCGGTTGAAATCTGAGATTTCCCCTAACTTCTAGGGTGTGGTTTTAGATTTTATATGATCGTCCCAAGTCCCCATGATCTATTACACAAGCTGTTAGCATATCTTCTAGGATTTGAATTGTACGTTCCGCTTAACCATCTGTTTGAGGATGAAAAGCACCGGTTAGTTCTACTTATGTAATCAAACCTTTTTTAAATGAATTCTAAAAACGAGAAGTGAATTATGTACCCTCATCCCATATGATGGATAAAGGGATCCCATGTATCCTTACAACTTTGTTAATGTATATCCTAGAATATGCTTCTGCAAAAAATAAACTTAAAGGAATAACGTGATAGGAATTTTTCAAGTTGTCCACAAATACCCATATTGCGTCAATCTACCTTCGTGTCTGAAGAAAACCAACTATGAAGTCTATTTTATTTTCTTCCCACTTCCAAGGAGTAACATTTATAACTTGATTCAAACCTCCCATCTTTTGATGCTCGGCTTTTACTTCATGACAATTAGGGCGCCTAACCACACATCCCACTACGTACCTTTTCAAACCATCCAACCAATAGATTTGTTGAAGACTGGGATACATTTTTTTGGCACCCGGATGAATATAATATTGGGAAGTGTGAGTTTCCTCCAAACTTCTATTTCTAAAATCATCAATATCTGCACACACGACCTACCTTCGTACCTAAGCACCCCATTCTCCCTTGGGAGAATGAATCATTAAGCTTACCAAGAACAAATTCTTTCAACTCCATAAAAAATAGATCAAGATGTTTCTTAGACTTCACCTCAACCACTAAAGACGATTCAGAGTTATGATGTACTATAAAACCACCATTTGGAGAATCTTCTACTGAAACACCCAATCGATTTAACCTATGTGAATCTTTTACTAGGTCTTTGTTTGCTTTTTATACATGAGATACACTACTCTAAGTCAGACAACTTAAAGCATCTGCAACCACGTTGGCCTTGCTGTGGTGGCAGAGAATACCCATGTCAAAATCCTTCAATAATTCCAACCATCTTCGTTGTATTAAACTCCTATTTAGTAAACACATATTCAAGACTTTTGTGGTCGGTGAATATGTCCATACATACCCCATAAATGTAATGCCTCCATATTTCAAGGAAACTACTATGGACACCAACTAAAGTTCATAAGTTTGATAGTTCTCTTCATGAACCTTGAGTTTCCTAGAGGCATCATATATCACCTTATTATGTTGCATGAGAACACAACCCAATCCTACCTGAGAAGCATCACAATACACTACATAATCCTTGGAACCCTGTCGTAAGGTCAGCACCAAAGCGAAGGTTAGCGTATTTTTCAACTCTTCGAAGCTTCTTTTGCAAGCCTCCGACCACTCCTACTTAACCTTCTTTTGTGTTAATGTTGTCAAAGGAGATTTAATATAGGCAAACCCCTCGACAAACCTTTTATAGTACCCTGATAGACCCAAGAAACTTCTTGTGTCAGTGGGAGTTAGAGGTGTAAGCTAATTTCTAACCTCTTCCATCTTCATTGGATCAACCTCTATACCCTCACATGAAATGATGCGTCCAAGAAAAGCAACCGATCTCAACCAAAATTCACACTTACTATACCTAGCAAAGAGTTGATGTTCCTTAAGAACATTTAAA